AATCTTCCTCAACCTGTAAACTCCAATAAAGTTACAATTATTAGTAATAATAATGGTAATTATCTAATTTATTGTTATATATTTAATCTTATTTATTTCTTATTAATGATATTTTAAATTATATAGAATCTCAACAAATTGATTTAATTTATGAATAAATTTCATTCACCTGATTTTTATTATTATTATTACCAAAAAAATTTATTTAATGATTATATGGTAACAATATATATATATTGTTACCTACTTATGGTAGACTGTTACCTACTTGCCGTACAATTGGTTCGTTTTTTCATCATCTTTGAGGTACGACGAGTTTGCATTTGCGTCATACTTTTAGGCTTGAAGAATTCGTGATTGTTTTTTTTTATTCAAGGCTGACTGATGACCCATTTTGGGTTCATGGAAGAATCCGTATTTGCATCGTACTTTTGAGTTACGATTGATTTGAATTTGCGTTGTACTAGTAGTCTAATAAATTACTACAAAAATGTATAAATAGAACCTCTATCCCCACTTTGGACCAAAAAAACTAATTCATAAAATACACATTTCTTATATCTCTATAAGCAATACATTTTCCAGCCGAATTGCCAATTTTTTCGATTCCCGCTTTGGGTCCCGATTTGAATTACGATTGGTTTATGAATTCGTCGTCAATATTTGAGCCCCGCTTTGGACTACGATTGGTTTATGGATTCGTCATAATTTTTAGTGATCGTTATGGATGTCAATAACGATGGACTTTTGATGGCCCATCAAAGCATAATTTTCAATTTGGATTTTTCTACATTATTGTAAGAGACGTCAAAAATTTAGATTCAAAATAGAAAAAAACACGTGCGCGTTATAAATTATAACGCCGATCTCCAAAGAATTCTAAATTTGTGGTCAAGGTATCAGAATAAAATATTACTAAAGAAACTAATTGTATGATTTTTGAGTCTGTTCTAATTTCGCAATTCTAACATCGTTCTCTTCACTTTGATAACCTATATCTTCAGTGGCAATTTCTAGATCACCAACACTGTCTTCTAGGCGACAAATTCTATCATGATCATCAAGATACTTATTCTCTAACTCTTTAACACTAGCATGAAGTTTGGCATTATTATCAATGAGTGCTTCCTTTTCCTTTTTAAATTCAGCAATAATGGAATCAAATTTCAAGTTTAATTCTTTCGATTGATTCTTATGTGGAAACATTATTATATTTTTTTTCTGGCGAGTAGTTAGTTAATACCTTCTTTGTAAATGTTTAATATGGTTATGATTAGTATAAATTCAATTTTAACCTAATACTATGATGCGTCTTTATTCTAAGAAAAATAGAAAAAATTATTTGTTCATCAGGGTTGTATTCTTTAATGAGAGGGATTTAAAAATGCGCTATTTTTTTTTGCTACCAAGTATATCCTGAAATGATATACAAACGGGAGGGGAGTTCCGTCCAGGTTTTGTCCAGGTAAAAAGTCATGCCAGCCTGGGTGGATTGATATAGGAGAATGTGTTCTATTTTGTTTTTAACTTGTTATTCTATCTTCGTCTAGGTTGTCTAGGTTAAAATATAGTATTTAAGAAAAAAATCAAAACTTCTACTATGGTATGTATATATATGTATACCCATTTTAAAAAAAATATAAAAAAAAATATAAAAAAAAAAGAAGTAAAGAAATACTATAATTTAACCTAGACAACCTAGACAACCTGGATGGGATAGTCTATATCTCTTTCATTCAGCTTAAAACATTATCCAGCCATTTTTACCATATTAATATTTTTAACTTGAACGGAAACCTGGACGGATTTTTTACTTGGACGAATTTTTATAGGGCAAATGTTCGCAAATATAGTTTACTCGGACTCTTTTACCTCAGGCATACTCTCAGGCATACTCTCAGCCAGCTTCTCAAGCTTTTTCCGGAAGTATTCTGCCATTCTTCGGTGTTTTTTAGCATGAGGATCACAAAAACCATAATCAGAATAAGTTGACTTGCCACACTCTTTGCATGGAACACGTGGTGGTGCATTCCGATGAACTTTACACCCCTTTGGGTGATAACATCCCCGGTTACATTCCTTGTCAGTTCTAAGAATATAGGAGCAACGATAAAACGCCATATCTATACAGTATGATAATTAAATTATGTGTTTATTTATATTCTCCGGAATTTGAATTATTTTATTGCGAATATTATACTGCCAGAATAAAGATGTCAACATACAGCACAGAAAACCCAGAAAACGATGCCCATTGTGAATCACATATTTCGGAAAGTAAAAAAGCAGGTCAAGTATTTCGATACAATGGAGAAGATTATTTACCATGTTTACCCATCCGTAATGAAATAGTTGCGGAAAATGATGATAGTAAATTAACTGAAAATATTAAACGAGTATTAACCAATAAAAAAGATATCCCATTCATGCCCGTTGATATTGAAGAATATAATGAGTATATAAACAATACTCCACATTATGTTTTACGTATATATGGATGTCTTGTCAACGGAGAAAAGGCCGTAGTAACTATTTCAGGTATTAAAGTATTCTTTGATATCCGTGTTCCTGAAAATAAAGATATAGATTCGCTCAAAACCGAAATAAAGAATATACTTTCTAATGGAAAAGATGACGAAGGTAAAACCGTAGATGTAATAAAATTTTAGTAGAGCATGTGAAAGCCTTTCCAATCCAGAGGTATTACTCGGAAAAAAAGTCGTATCTTCGTATTATTACAACAAATACTTTTCAAAGAAAAATTGCCTTAGAAATCAGTCGAAAAGAAAATCTAGAAACCGCATCAGATGATAGAAGTGCATATTATCGAAAAGTTGAAAGAGAATATAGAATTCCACTTTCTGGATGGGCTTTAATGAGCAACTATGAATATAACAATAGTAGATTATCTTATAATGCTCAATCCCCGCTCTGTACACACGCTTCCTATGCACCAATTAACGATTTCCGGCCCATAGATGACCCCTCAACATTACACAAAACCTATCCTTCTTCACTTATTACTCATGATCGGACATTAGTTCTTGCCTGGGATATTGAAACAAACTCAACACGTGGATTAGATTCTCTCCCTATGGCAAGATACAAAGAAGATAACGTATTCATTATTTGTATGACAGTTAACTGGAAAGATGACCCAAAACCATTAAAACAAATCCGTCTTGTTGATGTGGAAATGACACCAGACCCGAATTGGATTACAATTATTTGCGGAAATGAAAGAAACTGTTAAAAGCATTTGCACTATGTTGGAGAGCATTAGCTCCCGATATCGAAATTACATATAATGGTTTCAAGTATGATTGGCCATTTATAATAGAAAGAGCTACTCAACAAAAACTCCTCGATTGGATGTTTTTACGAATGTCGGGAAACCCACACCAAAAGAATACAATTGATGGCATTCTTCGTTAGAATTATTATGGAGGAGTAGGTGATCCTTCCAATAAAGATTTCTTCCACGGAGAGCAATCACGGACCAGAAATTTTGGAAACAATAAAGATAAAGATAATGAAAAAATCAAAAACCGGGAGGGTATTGAAATTAAAATTCCTCCAGATGGAAAATTCATATCTACTTTCCTTAAAGACCTGGATGTGTTCCAATTGATGTAATAGTATCTTATAAAAAACTCCATCCCCGTTCTGAGAAAAATTCACTTGACTATTACTTAAAAATATATGGTCTCAATAGTAAAATAGATATGCCAATAAAAGATATGAGAATTTATTATGAGAAAAGCAAGAAAATTACCACAACTGAAACCATTAAAAATATACATAAGATTGCAAAGTATTGTATTGTTGACTCTATATCTTGTCAAAAACTCATGATTAGACGTAATGCAGTAAATGATTACAGAGAAGTGGCCTCTATAGCTTACGTATCTTTATTTGATTCACACTATTACGCTGGAGGTATGAAGGTATGTAACCTCTTAGGTGCTAAAGCGTGGAAGAGAGATATATTAATTACTATGATATTTTCTAAACAAACAGAATCTGGAAAATTTCCCGGAGCTTATGTATTTCCTCCAGAAAAAGGTCTGGAAAATAAACGTCCGGTTACAGGTTTGGATTTTGCTTCTTTATATCCAAGTATTATTATGAATTATAACCTCTCACCAGATAAAATGATTTCAAAATCCGAAGAAGCCGATACACTAAAGAAAGAAAAGGAATCACTCCATGAAATCGAATTTCTTTTCAATGACCGAATTTTACGTGCCTGGTCTAATTAATAATAAAGTCTTTTCTCATTGTATATGGTTTCTCCGATAAGAAGGAATGCTAATGAAACTTGAAAAGGATAAAAGAATGGAAGGTTTATTGTTCTTATCAGTAATAATATCAAATTTCATACATTATGGAACTTGAGATCTTTACAATCTCCGAAGATCGCCAAAATTTGGCTTATTTTTCATTCTACAAAAGTGATTGCCAGAATGAAAGATTTAATTTCACATAAAAGGTGAAATATACTTTCCTCTTTGCACTTGTGATTTTAATAGAACTGCTTTATGGGGCAGAGATTCCGTTAATTGCATTTTATTATTATACCATTATGTTGATCTCTTTTTCTAACAGATTTTCAGATTTAGCAAATGTAACAATATAAATAAACCGGGTTTGTGAGGTATCATCTTTAATTTTATCAATTTTTTTTACAAAGGTAATACATTGTCTACTGATCTTAATAGAAAAAGGTGATTTATTTCATCATCATCCCTAATGAGAACATATAAATGGAGTTATTGCCCAGCAACCTGAATGCCAATTACACCAAACTTGTCACCATCTATCTTACACCCCCTATGTGCCCAGTACGAGCCATTGTTAATTTCTCTCCACAGCTTCACTTCATCATCATCTTCTTTTTGTTTATCACAGACGAGGCAAGAACATTCGGCAAAAATTAATTCATAGATTCTCGCATCATGCTTTGCTATGAACATAATATCTGGGCATTTCTCCCTTTTCCCTCTTCGATCTTTGCTAGCAATGCTTTGGCATTCTGCCCTATATAAAGCATATTAATATAATAATAAGAACAATTCTTGACAATAAAAAATACTCACATGCTAATGAATGCAGATTTCCCAAATGGAAGTTTTTTTAGTGCGGCTCAAACTACAGGTACTATGATATCTGTCACATAGGTCCCCTCACTGTGACTTAGCAAACTTGGGCCCGAAAGCTGGATTCTTCCAAATTTCTCCTCTATAAAAGCAAGGTATTGATATATAAGCAAAGTGTACCAAAGCTTATGTAAACTTAATACTACACTTACAAAACTTCAATAACTCCAGTTGTAATCTTTCCAAGTACCTCTTCTGACTCCATCCAATTTTCATGAAAAAGTTTACAAGATGATTCCTCAATAGCATCATTATTATAATTTGTAACAAAGTTATCACATGTGACTTTGACTAAAGGAGGAGTGGGTACTTCCATGCGCTTTGCTGGTTCCTAATAATATAATACATTTTTTGATTACAATCATTATCATGCATGAATTATTTCTGTACTTCAATGATTATCCTCACCATAAAAGAATTATACTCAGCTTCTGGTAATTTTCGAATTAATTCAGAGTGACTACTAAGCACTTGACTTGCAAGAGGATCCCACCACAAGAGTTCTGAGGATTTTGTCTTCTTTATATAACTTAGCAAAAGATGGGTGTAGGGGGCTTTACTCTTTTTAAGATTTGCTTTTAATGTTTGTAAGTTTGTACCTATTTCATCTGTAGTAAGTTGTTCCACATGCTTTGCAACTTCAATATCCTGAAGACTGCATAAACCTTCAAAGGCATCATCAAACTAGTGTAGAATATTAAAAATGTCAGATTTGGCCATTATTGATATCTAGTTATAAACATGCGCGTGCATCCATCAGGGTATTTCATGTGAAATTATCAACCATGTGCGATCATCACACAGAGGACAATTCACATGAATTATAATATTAATTCTTTCTCAAACTGGAGACCAAGAAGACATCCCCATGTGTCTAAGGATTAATGCATTAAACGATCAAACCTGTGCCCACTGGCTTTGGATACCCACTTGATTCAAGTTATCAAGATTCTATGCTAATCATCATATGATGCTAAAAAATATACACTATTTGATAACTAACCTTCAGAGGGATTCCAATTAATTTTTGATATTTTTCTGATCATTGTTCATATAAATTATTCACTGATGTAATTGCCTGGTGGATTAAGGTTCTTAAACCTTCCTTTGGAAACCAAGGATTATCTTCTATTATTTGGTGGATGATGGTGCGAGCGTGTAAATTCTACTACAGCTCGGGTTGTGTCCAATAAATATATAAGCTAAAATAAATAAAAAGTCCAATAAATATAACTCCCTGTATCCGCACACAGCTCAGGGGGCCCACTAATCTATGTTTC